TCAGGTGGACAAATCCCCATTTTCCCCATTTTCCCACGGAAAATTCCCAATTTTCCACGAGAAATCCCCATTTTCCCAAGAGAAATTCCCAACTTTTTCCAGGAGAAATCCCCACTTTCCCGAGGAAATTCCTGATTTTCCGGGAGAAATTCCCGATTTTCCAGGAGAAACCCCCATTTTCTGCTGGATAAATCCCGATTTTTCCCCATTTTCCCCCGGAAAATTTCCCACTTTTCCAGAGAAATTCCCATTTTCCCACAGAAAATTCCCGTTTTCCTGAGAGAAATTCCCGCTTTTCCGGGATAAATCCCCGATTTTCCCCCAGAAAATTCCCGCTTTTCCAGGAAAAACTCTCTCCACATTTTATTTTCATCGAGCGACCGAAGGGAAAAACCTCGGGAATTCCCGGGAATTCCGGGATTTTTCCCGGGATTTCAGCAGAAGACTTTTTCCAGGTAGGCGTTGAGGAAGATCCCGCCGGGATCCAGCTTTTCCCGGATGGCGCAGAATTTCGGGAATTCCGGATACATCAGCTCCAGATCCTTCCGGGTGCAGCTGTGAGCCTGAGGCGGGAAAAATTCCAGGAGAATTCCCAAATTTCCCAAAATCTGGGAAATTTTTTTTTTTTTTTCCCGTTGTTTTTTTTTTTTTTTTTCCTTATTTTTAGGAATATTTTACCCCCCGTGCCTCAGTTTCCCCTCGGGAAAAATCCCTCCTCTTTTCCAGGATTTGGGATCGATTTCTATCCAAAATTCCCAATTTTCCCAAAATCTGGGAATTTTTCCCATTTTTTTCTTATTTCAGGGATGTTTTTACCCCCGTGCCTCAGTTTCCCTCGGGAAAATCCCTCCCAATTCCCAGGATTTGGGATCGATTTCCAGGAGAATTCCCAATTTTCCCAAAATCTGGGAATTTTTCCTGTTTTTCTTCTTATTTTTTGGAATATTTTACCCCGTGCCTCAGTTTCCCTCTGGAAAAATCCTTCCCAATTCCCGGGATTTGGGATCGATTTCCTGTAAAAATTCCTGATTTTCCCAAAATCTGGGAATGTTCACGAAGGATTTTTCCCATTTTTCTTCTTATTTGAGGGATTTTTACCCCGTGCCTCAGTTTCCCTCTGGAAATTCCCTCCCATTTCCCGGGATTTGGGATCGATTTCCTGTTAGAATTCCCGATTTTCCCAAAATCTGGGAATTTTTCCCATTTTTTTCTTATTTCAGGGATGTTTTTACCCCCGTGCCTCAGTTTCCCTCTGGAAAATCCCTCCCAATTCCCAGGATTTGGGATCGATTTCCAGTTAAAATTCCCGATTTTCCCAAAATCTGGGAATTTTTCCCGTTTTTCTTCTTAATTTTAGGAACATTTTACCCCGTGCCTCAGTTTCCCTCTGGAAAAATCCTTCCCAATTCCCGGGATTTGGGATCGATTTCCTGTAAAAATTCCTGATTTTCCCAAAATCTGGGAATGTTCACGAAGGATTTTTCCCATTTTTCTTCTTATTTGAGGGATTTTTACCCCGTGCCTCAGTTTCCCTCTGGAAATTCCCTCCCATTTCCCGGGATTTGGGATCGATTTCCTGTTAGAATTCCCGATTTTCCCAAAATCTGGGAATTTTTCCCATTTTTTTCTTATTTCAGGGATGTTTTTACCCCCGTGCCTCAGTTTCCCTCTGGAAAATCCCTCCCAATTCCCAGGATTTGGGATCGATTTCCAGTTAAAATTCCCGATTTTCCCAAAATCTGGGAATTTTTCCCGTTTTTCTTCTTAATTTTAGGAACATTTTACCCCGTGCCTCAGTTTCCCTCTGGAAAAATCCTTCCCAATTCCCGGGATTTGGGATCGATTTCCTGTAAAAATTCCTGATTTTCCCAAAATCTGGGAATGTTCACGAAGGATTTTTCCCATTTTTCTTCTTATTTGAGGGATTTTTACCCCGTGCCTCAGTTTCCCTCTGGAAATTCCCTCCCATTTCCCGGGATTTGGGATCGATTTCCTGTTAGAATTCCCGATTTTCCCAAAATCTGGGAATTTTTCCCATTTTTTCCTTATTTTAGGGATTTTTTTCCCCGTGCCTCAGTTTCCCCTCTGGGAAATCCCTCCCATTTTTCGGGATCAGGATCATTTTCCATGGAAAATCCCAATTTTCCCAAGTCTGGGAATGTTCTGGAAGGAATTTTTCCCGTTTTTTCCTTTTTTTAGGGATCCTTTTCCCGTGCCTCAGTTTCCCTCTGGAAAAATCTCTCCCGATTCCCGGGATTTGGGATCGATTTCCAGGAGAATTCCAAATTTTCCCAAAATCTGGGAATTTTTCCCGTTTTTCTTCTTAATTTTAGGAACTTTTAGGGATTTTTACCCCGTGCCTCAGTTTCCCTCTGGAAAAATCTCTCCCGATTCCCGGGATTTGGGATCGATTTCCTGTTAGAATTCCCGACTTTCCCAAAATCTGGGAATGTTCACGAAGGATTTTTCCCATTTTTCCTTATTTTAGGGATTTTTACCCCGTGCCTCAGTTTCCCTCCGGGAAAATCCCTCCCAATTCCCGGGATTTGGGATCGATTTCCTGTTAGAATTCCCGATTTTCCCAAAATCTGGGAATGTTCACAAAGGATTTTTCCCAGTTTTTCCTTATTTTAGGGATATTTTACCCCGTGCCTCAGTTTCCCTCCGGGAAAATCCCTCCCAATTCCCGGGATTTGGGATCATTTTCCATCCAAAATTCCCAGTTTTTCCCAAATTCTGGAATGTTCAGGAGGGAATTTTTCCCAGTTTTTCATTATTTTAGGGATATTTTACCCCGTGCCTCAGTTTCCCTCTGGAAAAATCCCTCCTCCCGTTTTTCCTGTAAAATTCCTAAAAAAAAAAATTATATATATAAAAAATGGGGGAAAATTCCTTCCGGAACATTCCCAGATTTTGGGAAAATCGGGAATTTTAACTGGAAATCGATCCCAAATCCCGGGAACTGGGAGGGATTTTCCAGAGGGAAACTGAGGCACGGGAAAAAACATCCCTAAAAAAAGGAAAAAATGGGAAAGATTCCTTCCTGAGCATTCCCAAATTCGGGAAAATTGGGATTTTTAATGGGAAAATGATCCCAAATCCCAGAAAATGGGAGGAGGGATTTTTTTCCCAGAGGGAAACTGAGGCACGGGAAAAGGGATCCCAAAAAAAAACCCCAAAAAATTTGGGAAAAATTCCATCCTGAGAATTCCCAAATTTGGGATCTTCCCGTGGAAATCGATCCCGATCCTGGGAAAAAGGGAGGGATTTTTTCCCAGAGGGAAACTGAGGCACGGGAAGGCGATTCCGATTTTCCTGGGGTAATTCCCATTTTTCCTGAAGAAAATTCCCATTTTTCCGGGACAAATTCCTGATTTTCAGGGGAAAATCTCCCGGAAGAAATTCCCGGCTTTCTGGGGAAAATTCCCATTTTTTTCCTGGAGAAATTCCCGTTTCCCTGGGATAAATCCGCGTTTCCCCGGGATAATTCCCAATTTCCCGGGATAATCCCAATTTTCCTGGGATAATTCCCGATTTTCCCAAACTTGGGAATGCTCAGGAAGGATTTTTTTCCCATTTTTTATCTTTTTTCCGGAATCCTTTTCCCGTGCCTCAGTTTCCCTCTGGAAAAAAGATCCCTCCTCCCATTTCCAGGGATTTGCATCAATCCCAATTTTCCCGGGATAATTCCCGGGGTTTCCTGACCCATTCCCGGTGTTCCCTGATCCATTCCTGGTTTTCCCAATCCATTCCTGGTATTTTTCCTGACCCATTCCCGGTGTTCCCTGATCCATTCCTGGTTTTCCCAATCCATTCCTGGTATTTTTCCTGACCCATTCCCGGTGTTTCCCGATCCATTCCCGGTTTTCCCGACCCATTCCCAGTGTTTCCCGTGCCATTCCTGGTGTTTTTCCCTGATCCATTCCTGGTGTTTTTCCTGGCTCATTCCCGGTGTTTCTCGTTCCATTCCCAGTTTTTCCCGACCCATTCCCAGTGTTTCCCGTGCCATTCCCAGTGTTTTTCCCAGCCCATTGCCGGTGTTCCCTGATCCATTCCCGGTGTTTTTCCCACCCCATTCCTGTTTTTCCGGCCCATTCCCAGTGTTTCCCGATCCATTCCCAGTGTTTCCCGTGCCATTCCCAGTGTTTTTCCCAGCCCATTGCCGGTGTTCCCTGATCCATTCCCGGTGTTTCCTGATCCATTCCTGGTTTTCCCAACCCATTCCCGGTGTTTCCCGATCCATTCCCGGTGTGTTTTTCCTGGCTCATTCCCGGTGTTTCTCGTTCCATTCCCAGTTTTTCCCAGCCCATTCCCGGTTTTCTCAGTTCATTCTCGGCTTTCCGGTGCCATTCCCGGTGTTTTTCCCAATCCATTCCCGGTGTTTTTCCAGATCCATTCCCATTTTTCCGGCCCATTCCTGGTGTTTTTCCCAATCCATTCCCGGTGTTTCCTGATCCATTCCCGGTGTTTCCCGATCCATTCCCGGTGTTTTTCCTGGCTCATTCCCGGTGTTTCTCGTTCCATTCCCAGTTTTTCCCAGCCCATTCCCGGTTTTCTCAGTTCATTCCCGGTTTTCCCAGCCCATTTCCAGTGTTTTTTCCAGCCCATTCCCGGTGTTTCCCGACCCATTCCCAGTGTTTCCCGTGCCATTCCCGGTGTTTTTCCGGGCCATTCCCGTTTTTCCCGTGCCATTCCCAGTGTTCCCTGATCCATTCCCGGTGTTTCCTGACTCATTCCCGGTGTTTCTCGTTCCATTCCCAGTTTTTCCCAGCCCATTCCCGGTTTTCTCAGTTCATTCCCGGTTTTCCCAGCCCATTCCCAGTGTTTTTTCCGGCCCATTCCCGGTGTTTCCCGATCCATTCCCGGTGTTTCCTGATCCATTCCTGGTTTTCCCAATCCATTCCCGGTATTTTTCCCGATCCATTCCCGATGTTTCCCTTCCCATTCCCAGTGTTCTTCCCAATCCATTCCCGGTGTTTTTCCCAACCCATTCCCGGTTTTCCCGATCCATTCCCAGTGTTTTTCCCGATCCATTCCCGGTGTTTTTCCCAACCCATTCCCGGTGTTTTTCCCAATCCATTCCTGGTTTTCCCGATCCATTCCCGGTTTTCCCGATCCATTCCCGGTGTTTCCCTGACCCATTCCCAGTGTTTTTCCCGA